CTTCCCCCCCCCCCCCATCCAGCAAAGGCAAAACACACACACACACACACTCTCTCTCTCCAACTTTAGATTCTTTATTTGATGTCAGCTTTGTCGAAATTTCTTCATTAATTAATATATTTGCAAACGAAATACCCCATTTTGTAATATTTTCAGAGCTGTCTTTATGCAGCTCATGGAAATTACCATCGGAGTTCTCTAGCTCTCCATAGTTCTCCTGCTCGTGTATTGTGAAACTAGGTAACCAATTTTTGTAACTGTTTAGTTCTTGGTCTCTCGCGTTGTATATGGCCAGTAATACTATGTGATTAGTGGTGTTGTTTGTTACCCTGTTTTTGATGAATGGACTGATGTGTAGTCAGTAGTGTGCTTTTTTTGGTATCGATTGTATGCCTAGAGCTAAAAATAGGAAAATTTGCATACATTATCATACCAGTTTACCCCATTGCATTATCCTAAAACTTCTATGAATCAAAATCAGCTGAATCAATTCTATTTGTCTGTGGTTTGGAGGATGGGGCTAAGTGCTGAGAGCATGTTTGCTTCTGCTCGCTGAGCATGGAGTTGCTTTCTCTCTACACTGCACTGTTTTAGTCTATTCAACCTTGCACTGAGCTGTATTGTTTTGCAGTAATGTACATAAGCATGGTGTTGCGGTTGCAGGCATAAGTTTTGCAGACTTGGGGGTTTTTCTCCAAAATGTACTTAAAAATGGTTTAATCCATCTTGTAGGATTAAAGCCATTTTGTTCTTTGCTTCCAGTAATTCATTCTTTTTGGAAATAAGATTTTTCATTTTTTTAAAGAAAAAAAAGATGGTGCCTGCTCCACATAGCATAACACAATTGCTCAATTACTATAGCACAATAAACTGCTACAGCATAGTAGAAACTACATGCGTCACAAAAAAAAAACTCAGCCTTTATCATCAAAAATAACCATCATCTTCTTGCTCAATGCAAGAAACCTTCTCCATACCTCCTCCTACACCTTTCCTTCCAGATTTGCCAATAAATGAGTAAATATGCCCCAGCTGATACTGCATTCTGCCAAGCAGATTCCAAATCTACTCTATAATGCTTTGCCCCTTAGAATTCCTAAGAACCATTCCTTATCTAGATATACCACTGCTCCCTTTAGAAGCACCATCCACGTTAAGCTTCATCATATTCACAAGAGGAGGCTTCCATTTAATCCACTGAACCTTAGCAATTACAAAAAAAGGCCTTCCAATCTTCAGGTCTTGAAGTAATTCCTTACCCCTGAGATCATCCATCATACCAGACTTCTCATATAAACCAACCATCACAATGCACTAATCACTTGTGCAAAAATAGCATAAGCATCCAATTCTAAGCCTTCAAACCTCCTTCTACACCTTTCCTTTCAAATAGCCAAAAAAATTAACATAGAGACCCCCCTCACCAAAGCATGACTCACAGTTGGAGCTTTAAAACCTTTCATCAGTCTCAAACATCTACACATTGGAGACTCCCCTGAAACTATTCCAAAACCCATAAAAGTAGACACCCTCCTCCATATTGCTTCAGCAAAAGAACAAGTAACAAACAAGTGATTAGAAGTTTGCTCATTCTGAATACACAGACTACATCTGCTAGCCAATGACTTAGTTCATTAGTATTATCATATATGTTTAGTTTCTTTGATGCTTTGTTTTATTTCTAGGAATGGGCGAGTTATGCATTTCGGTTTCTGATGAGGCAAAGTCAAGATATGTTAGTATTTCACATTGTAGAAATTATTTTTTTTTTTAAATAAATTTTTATCATACACTCAATAATTGGGTTAAAATATATTAAATTGTAGGAGCGGATGAAAGAATTGGCCACACAGAACTTAGAAGAGGGTGTAGAGCCATTGACACATGATGAAATTGCATGCACAGTACTTGGCAGTCGACCTGGATATAAGAAAGGATTTGGACATGGTCCAAAACCTTCATCCTCTAATCAGTCATTCAAATGCACTGCTGAGTATCGAGAATAAGCTGATATGATAAAGGAGTTGCAAGCAACTGTTGATACTCTTCAGAAGGAACGTGATGAAACGAAAGAGAAGCTAGAGAAGTTTGAAGACGTGCAACAAAAGTTTGAAGACGCGCAACAAAAGTTTGAGGACGCGCAGCAACAGATGATGCAACAACTTTTGCAGATGCAACTTCAACTGCAACGTGCTCTACAAGGCAACTCAACTAATGCAGACATGCCACCCGAGTCTTAGTTAGTATCTTTTTACTATCGTTTTAAGTTCAACACTTTAGTGTTTTTGAAAAATTTGATTGATAATTTATTAATTTATTTTTTTTCTTTTTTATAACAGATGAATTATGGACTTTTGCATTAAAGTGGCTGACGAATTATCTTTTTGTTATGTATTTAAATATTGTATGATTCCATCTTGTTTTGATGTGTGATTGTTGTTTTAATATGTGATTTGAGGGGTTTACCTTTTAAGTGGTTTTTTATGTTAAGTGTTAATTGTTTGGTTAAATGGTGTAAGTGTTGAATTGTTTGAAGGAGTTTGAAAGACAGGATGTTAAATACTGTGAAGATTTAAAGCACATGAAGCAAAACATCAAGATACTCGATGCGAAAGATGACAAGGTATGAGAACAATTGTTCTCCACTTGTATTTAAACTAATGCATGTATGGGAACAAGTGCTTTTCAGAAATGGGCTATAGCAGTTCTTCGATACCCTTTTGGTATTCTATTTTCATTTCATTCTGTACACAAACTAAATACTTTCATCTTTAGCAGTTTTTCGATACCCTTGTCTCCTGTTATGTTAATAAATGTGTCTTACTTTGTGGGTTTTTAGTATAACTTCTGGTGTTGAATGTTTTTATTCTAGGGTATTTCCTGTTTGGTTGAAGTATGTGCCTGGCATCGGCTTCAGAACAGATAATGAACCTTTCAAGTTCTCTCTCTCTCTCTCACTCTCTCACTCACTCTGTGTGTGTGTGTGTGTGTGTGTGTGATGGACATTGCAAGAAGCAAGAAAACATGACTAATGGTGAAACCAACAAGGTATATGTTATATGTTTTTGATAAAGCCTTGACATACTAATTTGCAGAAACTTTTCTATAAATTTTTCCATGATTTTTTCAGTTAATTGTTGGTGTTGCAGGTGGCAATGCAGGGGTTCACCCAAAAAAATTGTCCAAATGATGAAGAATGAAAAGTTATTCGAGTCTCAAGGTGGCCCTATCATCCTCTCCCTGGTACAACTTTAGGGTATTTGCTAATATCTTTGGTGTATTTATGCCATGAACCATCATTAAGGTTTTCAACACCAAAAAGTTATTGGGCATATGCTGACTATGTTAATAGTTCTATTTCCATTAACATAAAAGGCAAAGAAACTAAAACACATTCATATTCATGCAAGTTAGAAGTTTACAATTTCGATCCAAAATTGCTATAATATGTAAATTTATATTTGTGAAGATTGAGAATGAGTATGGGCCAGAAAGCAAGGCATACGGTGCAGCTGGTTATGCCTACATGACTTGGGCTGCAAAAAATGGCTGCTGAAGGGGATACTGAGGTCCCATGGCTTATGTGCAAGGAGGACGATGCCCCAAATCCTGTGGTAAGCAATCTCATGCAATCAGCAGAGAAATCTTGCTTTAATTTAACTACATATCAATATAATAATAGACAAGAGATAGATTAAAGGACTGCCAGCTACTGCTCTTGGATTAGCTGCATAAAGTATTTTAGATGTTGTGAACAACTTTATTTGAAGTAAGAGTTTACCTGATGGAAGTCCTTGATATTTGTTGTGAAAAGTCTGCAAGCTCTTTTTCAGAGTACATTTAGACCTTACCCATTTTCTTCTGCAGGGAATTACACAAGTAATGGTTTCCTTAAAATGGCTTGCAATGGGGGCTTGAATCAGATGCGTGTTGCGGTTTGTATGTTGTTTTTGCTCTCTTTTGTGAGGTTTTCTTATATTTACATTGACGTAGCCTGTTTGGCATTTCAGATTTGTTACATGGTCATAGTTGCTCGGCTTTTAAATCTTACTTTGGTTGTTCCAGACCTGGATAAGAGATCCTTCTGGGCTGATCCTAGGTATAATTATTGTTAAGTAGTGACTTTCTCTCGGCCTTTATTCACTTATTCAAACCAACTTGTGGTAATCCATGTGCAGCAACTTTGAGGACATTTTTGATGCGAGACACTTCATTGATTCACTAAGAGATGAAGTTCGAATTGTCAAAAGGTTGCCATAGAGGTTTACCAGCAAATATGGATATCAATCTCTAGAAATGCCTCCTGTTAGTTGGTCAAATGACAAATACTACTTGCAACAGGTCTGTATGCTTCCTATTTATTTACTAAGAATCTCATTTAAAGAATATGGTGGGAAGAATTTAATAAGAAAAAAAAAAATTGGAATGGGGATACATCTTCACCTTTAATAATACCTCTGTGGGATGTAAAATTAATACCATTTATCTTCATCATTATTCCCAAAGGTTATGAAAGATTTAGACATTTGTATGTTACCTTGCAATGGTGACAACAACATGCTCGTGTGTCAATCGCATCATTATATGCAATCATTTTAATTCAAGTTGCTAACGAATGACCATTTCACAATTCTCTATGCTTGTGCAGATTAATTGGGTCTTGTGAAATTAGCTTAGGAAATTAGCTTACCCTCCCATGAAATCCTTCGACATCTTTCCTTCCACAATTGCCAATAAATGGTCAAAGCCAAACTTCTAATAATACTATGGCTCAATGTCTTCTTCTTAAAAATTCTGCTAAGTCTATGAAACCTCCCCATAGGGAGTATTATGGTCAGTGCCCTTCTCTAAACTTCCCTTTGTTTCCCCATGTATCATTGTGACATTGCTTAGGCGGATTTCTTGGTTCTTGTTGGTACAAAACGAGTTTATGAAGGATTATGCCACCTTTTCTCCTTTGAAGTGGAATGTGTATATATAGGTTTTTTACTTGAGTTCTCTAACTATTATTCAAATCTTGTTTGAAATTTATTGTGTTCAATGGATTTTATCTTGTTAAAAGGTTGCAAGGCATATTTTTGTGCATTACAGTGGCTCTCTTGACAAACCTTGCCTCTGACATGTCTTTGAAACTCAAAGAAATCACTTTATTCTTAGACATAAAGTCTGTGACTAGCTGCAAAAGATTGATGAAAGGAGATTGAATTGAAAATATATGCCTACTGTTGATGAGATTGAGAATGTGAAAAATACTAATCGCTATGGATTTCTACAGTTCAGACAAGAAGTGTAGTGTGTATATTTTCTGTTCATTTCGTTTTAAATTATTAGTTGGTTTGGTGTTGAGCATATTTTGCATTGAATGTTACTGGGAATATTTGCATTGCAGTGCTTGATAATCATAATATCATATTGAAAATGCTGATTTAGAAGTTTCTAATTGTATGCTATCAAATGTTGGCTGCTCTTTTGAGGAATTTGTCAACACAGAGCTGTATGCACGTGTATCTGTTGTTGTACTGTAACTTCGTAATTAAAAGGATCGATGACATTGCACAAGACCATATATATCTTAAAAAATGTCATGGTTTGGAGACTATTATTTAAAACAATGTTCCAAGACCATATATATCTTGAAATTTTGTTCATGTTTCAATGTTTTAAGGCATATTTATCAAAGCATGTTTTAAAGAACTCTGCCTTAGTTATATGTGCTCTTTCATTTCAGTTTCATTCTTGTGCACCATTACTAAGAGTTGAAAACTTGAAAATTCTCTAGGGTCTTAATTTATTAACATTATCTTCTTCTTCTTCTTATACACCTACTACTACTACAGTCAATGATGTAATAATGGCAAATGCGATAACACTAGGGCCATGCCTTTGCATTTTTTTATCAAAACTATGAACTGTTACAAGAACAGTTAAAATTCATGTACATTACCTACAAAATATCCTCCTAGCTCAGCTTCTGCCCCTCTGCTCACAGCCCAGTTTCTGTGCCTTTGAATTGATGCTACACAGAGTACAGCATCCAGCACCCAAAGACCTTGGACAGCACCTGAGTCAAAATCAGACTGCTAGGAATGGCCAATCTCCACATTCAGCTCATATCCCTCACTGCATGCAGCAAGAACATCTAAACAGAGTCATACCCAAACATTTCTACACCAGCATACTGCACAGACTGACACGGCACAACATCACAGCTTCATAGAACCACTCAAAAAATTTGCAAAAAATAAGTAAGTTGTCTTTAATCCTTCAAAAGGATCAAACCAATTTTACTGCATTACTGGATCAGCTACTGAAACCCCTATCCCAATCTGAACAGACCAAAGCAGTCAGTCCAACTGGACCAGGCACCTGATCCATGCAAACCAGCTCCAGGCCAACAGTCAGCCCTCTCTAAACACCACAACCAAAACCACACTAACCAGCTGCTACTCATACCCCAAAACACTGGAATAGAAGCAGTCTGTCAAACCCTTCTGTCCAGCTACAAAAAATTCTGCCAGACAGTCAACATATTGCCCATTCTTTTAAGCCAAAAACATCCCTCAGCTGCACTAATTGATCCAACATCATCATCCAATCCCTTATATTACTGATATCAATATGCATCTTATGTTTGGATGAGTTTCAGCTGAAGGAACTTGAGAAGTTAGGTCCCAAGAAAGGTGTTATCAGCCAGTCTGTCAAAGATGTTGCTCACAATTTAGTGGATTGATGCTAACTTGAATTAAAATGATTGCATATAATGATGCAATTGACACACACGCATGTTGAGATTCTTAGTTTAACATCACTATAGTGGTCATTTGAGTAGCAGTCGATATGCTCAATATTCCTTAGCCTTGTCCTATGATGCCCTGATATAAACCATGGTTCACTGAGATAGATGGTGCATGCATCTAGGAAGATACAATAGGAAGGAGCCTACAAGATACTTAGAAACTTATATTATTTCTAGGAAAAGGCTTTTTGTTGTTTGAGAAAACTGGAGTTCATCTTGCAGATTGTTTAACACAGGAAGTTTTTGGTCCAACTTTGACACTAGTTTAGGCACACTCGGTATATATGACGTGTACATCGGCTTAATGGGATGTCAGGAATAATGAATTCTGTAATGCTTATGATATTGTGGGAAATATATGTAATGGTTTTGGCTATAATAAGATCTTACTGTTCACTCGTTTTAAGTATAAGAATATTAGGAGGGACCCTTCGTATATTCTTATCATCACATCATTTTTGTCTCCTTTTCTGCATTCATTCTTTCTTTCTTTCCTTTTTCCCTCACAAGCCAACTCTTTTTTACATCCATTTCTCACTTCTATACTTGCACCGAAGGAGATCCCTCAAAGGAAGCTATGTTCAGAAGGATGTTGCTCTTAATTTGGTGTGTCTTCGATCTCTAACAAAAGACTAGTTTCCCACCTTTGTGATCCAAAGTCTCATAGGAATGGCTGGAAAAAAAATGGGTACATGTGGACATTGTTTATCATTTATTCAATGAAGACTCCATTATGGAATACTCTTCTTTTTACTAAATTAAATGTTCTATATATTTGTTGGAGTTTGACAAGTTTTTCTAGTTCTTGTGTAGCATAATTTTTTCCTGTATGTTTATTCAGGTACTAATCAGGAGCGTGCCACATGTTTCTGGGCGCTCAATATCAGATAGTCTCGAACACTTCTTTCAAACAAACCACCCAAATCACTACCTTTGTCACCAGGTAATACGGATCTTCTATTGAATTTTATTTCATGAGATTAGTTTCCTGTCTTTCAATTTTCTTTTAATTGACAGCGGTAAGTATCTGACCATAATCCCTCTCTGCAGTTACCTGTGTGATTCAATGGATTCAATTTTTAAATTTAGAGTTTGTGCAGACTCTCACACTAAATTAGATTACTTCCTTGTAACTCTTTGAACAAGTTGTACATGACGTTTATATCCATCGTCCTTTATGGGGTTCTACTATGCTTTTATTATATAGTTATGTTATCTTTGTCTTTATTCAAGCTGTCTACAATGCAAACAAGTTTGCAAAACTTGTTAGAAAAAGAAATAGGCTCCAAAATTGGCTGGACTACAACCAACTTAAGTTAGAAAGACATCCAGACAAAAGGCCCACCAAAAAGGTAGCTTCTTTTATGCACTGAAATTATACAAACAAGATATATCGGTGACACCCACGCATGGACCTTTTCATAAGCCGCTTAAGATGCAACAGAATATTCCTTTTTAATCCTTTGTAATTGTCTCCATGTTCAAAAAGGCTTCCTTGGGCTTTGGGGTGAAAGAGTTGATTTTGTCGACTTCTATAAACAATAAATTAAAGAACTTGATAAAAGGGTGAGTTATGGTTGCTACTTAATCTTAATTATGTTTGATACTCATTAATTATTATTTGTTCAGTAGTTATCCATTTTCCTGTGGCTGCTAATCTCTTCAGGTTGAGATTTTTTCTTTCCTTCAAAGCATCGAACTTATCCTTTCACTAATATGATACTCAAAATTTCTTGTGAGTTTATGTAACTAATTAGTCTTTGTCCTTGCATTGTTCCTTAGTTGACGATGGAGCGCCAAAGAATTCTCAAAGACCCGAAATCTATAATTTCAGTTGCCTTTGTATCATTTAATTCTCGATGGGGGGCTGCCGTTTGTGCACAGACACAACAAAGCCAGAATCCGACTCTCTGGCTAACAAATTGGGCCCCCGAATCCCGAGATGTATACTGGAAGAACCTGTCTATACCATTTGTTTCTCTTAGCATTCAGAAGCTTGTGATTTCACTATTGGTGTTTGCATTGGTGTTTTTTTACATGATACCCATTGCTTTCGTGCAATCCCTTGCAAATCTTGACGGTCTTGAAAAGGTTGCACCTTTTCTCAAGCCAGTGATTGAATTGTAAGTAGACTTTCATTTGTTCCCAGTCAAATTGGTATTATGACTCAATTTGATTTACTACTTAATGCGAAATACATCATTAGTTGAATTTCATGTATATTTATGTTATCTGATAATGTATCACATTGTGATTTGATTTGTGCCTTTGGTTGTTGGTCTTGGGCAGGAAATTGATTCTCAAGAAAACTGAGTCAAGTAAAAGAGAAATATAACATTGCTTTCCCAACATGTCTTTCTTTCAAAAGAACGTTTGTAAGAAAGCTAGATTTTTTTAGCATGTAACTTCTTCTTCTCTTTGTTCTTCTTAAATTTATTATGAAAAGTGAATGTGCATTGCTGTTTTTTTTATTAACATTTCTCCTATGCCATCTATGTCTATTACTATTGATGCATATGTTCATATATTGTGTTCACCTGACATCCTTATGGTTGTGTTAAAAAATGATTATTTTAGGTTTATAGGTACAGTTGATTTATAAATTAAATATTGAAGCATCTCTACTAGATTCTTGTTTGTAGGACATGTAATCTTGTGTTCTCTGCATTTCTTGATTGCTAGAATCTCTTGATTCTCAAATTCAATACCTGCACACTCTATTCATTACTTCCTGAGATCATTACGTTTGTGTTAAAAATGCTACTTCTATATTTGGAGTGTATTGTTGTTTTTCGGCTAAGAATTCAAGTCTGTCTCTCTACCATGTTTTGGAAAGGATTCAACAATAAGCCTACAAACTTCACAACACACCAATAAGCTCCTGTTTGAATTAAAAGCTATATCTTGCCCTCTCTACATCTCTCCTGATTGTTATAGTTGCTTGATTTGCAAATACAATACATGTATAGTCCGTTTGTTACTCTCTAAACCTATGGCCATCTTTAAAAAGAATTCTGGCAATGTGATGCAGGAAATTCATCAAGTCATTCCTACAGGGGTTCCTTCCTGGTCTAGCTCTCAAAATTTTCTTATACATTCTTCCCACGGTTTTGTTGATTTTGTCGAAGGTTGAGGGTTATGTAGCATTATCAGTACTAGAACGGAGGGCAGTAGCAAAATACTACTACTTTATGCTGGTGAATGTGTTCTTGGGGAGCATAGTGGCTGGAACTTCTGTGAGTAAAACTTGTCCAATGGTGTAACATATAGGAATAAGATTTTTTTTTTTTTTTTTGAAACTCTGCAACATGAAATGTTTTGCTTGCACGTGTGAATTTCGCAAACTCCACCCATTTTCATATTTAGAGTCTAATAGCACTAATAATTGGTGAAAATTCAGGTATACTTTTGGAGTCCTCCTAGCTGTGCTAGAAACCAGGTAATGTAGATGTTTCGCTTCCTACCCTGAATTCTGTGGGAGTGGTTTCGTGTCTATGTTCTTTAAGCATTGACAAACTTCATTTTACAACTAAGGAATGTTTATCGAAAACTTGAATCTGATCTACAAAGCAGTAAGAAGAGGCTTGTAGAACTTGTTGAAGAGTCTGATGCTTTAAAGAAGGGGCGAGAGGAATCTGTAAGTACATAGAGTTCCATATCTTCCTTCATGTAAAGCTATGGGTTATTTGTAAGGATGAAGTATTGGGCCTTCTCCATATCTGACTTCCATAATTGTGCCAGGATGAACGAGAGGAGGCACTAGACGAGCTTAAGGCTATTGAACAAAAGTATAATGAGCTAAAGGTTTGGGTCATATATTCTTCCTTATCCCTCTATTAAGCACTATGAAATGTATTATATCTCTTGTGACTTTAGTTTACAATCTCATTTTTCAGGGCAAGATGGGGCAGTATGCAGACAATGATCCAGCTGCCTTTGAAGCAATGAGTTAAAAAATGCTATGCTTTCTATTGAACTTCAACTATATTATCAATTTTAGCGAATTTTTTATCCTTTGGGAATCTACTTTAACCGACCAACCATTCTAAAACCTTATGAGCATCAAAGCATTCTTACTTTTGATATTGTGGTTGTTGAGGAAGCTATCAAAGTCGCCCATGCTGTATTTTTTTTCGTTTTTGTAACAAATGAATTATGGACTTCTACATTAAAGTGACTTACGAATTATTTTTTGGTTATGTATTAAAATATTTTGGGAAATTTGTATGTAGATTATGTTATTGGATATTTTGATGATTTGTATAACTTTTAATAGAAGTATTATATTTTATGTTTTTGTTAGTATGGTATTTGATGTTAGTTTGGTTTCGTTGTTGAATTAAAAAGATGTGAAATGTGTTAATTGTGTTAGTTTATTATTGAACACAACTAATATTGGAGAAAAAGGTGAAAAATTTTATTCAAATATCATTTTTTATGAATTATTTTAAAAAAAAATTGCGATGAAATAAAAATCGTCGCAAATAATTATAGAATCAATATTTTTCGCGACGATTTTTATACGTAGCAAATATATTTATTCAATTATTTTTTATTTATGTAAAAAATTATTTTTTATGATTTTTTGACTTCGCAAAAAATTAATTAAATGATTATTTTTACATTTTTATTTATTAAAACATTATTTGCGATGATTTTTTACGTCGCTAAAAATTAATTAAATTATTATTTTTTATATTTTTTATTTATGAAAAATTATTTGCGACAATTTGTTTACGTCGCTAAAAATTAATTAAATTATTATTTTCTACATTTTTTATTTATGTACAAAATTATTTGCGACGATTTTTTTACGTCGTGAAAATTAATTAAATTATTATTTTTTTTATTAAAAAAAGTATTTTCGACGATTTGTTTACGTCGCTAAAAATTAATTAAATTATTATTTTTTACATTTTTACACTGGTGGAATAAATTTTAGCGACGTTTTTTAACTTTTTGTGACGTTTTTTTTTTCGTTGCAAAAATTTTTTTTTTGCGAAGAAAATAAAATTGCTTCGCCAAATACTTTCTGCGATGAGGCTATTGCGACGAACACGCAACGAAAAAAAACGTCACAAAAAAGTATTGGCTATGATTTTTTTTAATTTAGCAACGAAAAAAAACGCCGCAAAAAATAATTTTTTTTGTAGTGATAGTCTAGATATTTAATTACAGAAAAATAGTGTGATATTTAAAATATTTTATAAGAGTAAAATAGTGAATGAAAAACTTTTCATTCTAAGATACTTTTACTAGTTGTATAGATATAAATTATTAGTAGTATAGATAATATATAAATATATTTATTTATTTATATATACACACACACATAATGTTATTTTTTTATTTGAAAAAAGTAATGATCTATTGATAGACTTTTTGAACATGTTATTGAAAACTATGTTGATGCATATATTTTTTTAAGGGCTACGTAATGAATTAAATTTTTTTATAAATTTTGATATTTATACAAAGATAATAAAAAATTAAAAAAGATTTAGAGCGTTATTTGAAGATTTAAATGCATAAGATTCTGATTGTAATTTAGATATTTAACTATGAAAAAATAAAGTGATATTAAAATTCTTTATAACAGTAAAATATTTTTATTAGTTGTATAGATAACCATCACCCTCCCATTTTCACAGGAAAATCTCTTAGTAGCAGTATCTGTGTGTAGACCAGAAAACCCCACCATCATTGTTCTAGATCACCCTGGCAGAGCAACTTTCCTACGGCATTAAACTCTACCAACCTTTGGACGGCTGCATTTATACATACCATGTTTCTCCTTTAACACAGCTTAACCAGGGTTCTCGAACCCACTAGAAGTGGTGTTGTGACAGTGTAATATGGTGAACAATCAAACAAACAAGAGTGAAAAATAAGTACGAACAGAAAACATAAAAATGATTTACGTAATTGGATAAAATTTTACTTACATCCACGAAAACAACGTTGTTTGTCGCACAACACAAACAATACACATTGCGTGGCTCTGCCCACGGGCCATTGGACGTCTGGGCTGCCTTTATTTCCTATAATTGATTTAAAGCTCCTTATCCCAACAGTCATTTGGCTGTCCAACCACTCATCAAAAGAGCAGGAGCAAACTGTCCAAGCTTTACCTTCATAAGCAAAAGATATTGTAGAATGGGACAAATCCAGATCATTCAGCTTGTATGGGCAATCATGCCCACCGCGAGTGTTGAATCATCAACCACTACGATCCACAATTAATGGTATGAGATTTGATGTGAATTTTATATTACTGTATCACTCATCAAGTTTACTTAGCTCCGATTGGTTAGAAATAAAGTAACGGCAAAAAATAAAAAAGGTCAAAAGTGAAATAAAAAAAATGAAATGTAAAGGAAAATTTATTTTTTTGTATGGTTTTGATTAAAATGAAAAGTTTGCTAGAAAAATATAGAAAAGTTGGTGTAAGGATTAAATTATCCTTATCATATAAATCTAATAGGGTCCGTTTGTTTAGCAAGAAAATATTAGAAAAAAAAAGAAAGAGAAAATTTAAAATTTTACATGCGTTTGTTTAGCATGAAATAAAAAATGATAGAAAAAATAATTTTCTCTTATGTTTAGATTTTCTCACATTTAACTAATTTTTTTTTCTTGCAAAAAACACAAGAAAAAGCAAGAAAGTTATATTCAATAACTTAACTTTCCATTTTACCCTTATTTTTCTTAAAATATTCAATTATTTATTAAGTTTAAAAAATTGTGTACAAATTAGACTAATCATATAATTTGATTTAGAGATTATGGTTGGAGTCGATCTTTATTCTTGAATAGGTTAAGAGCCAATTTTTTTAAAATTTGAATAATAAAAAATGTTTTTCCTCTTTAAACTACTTAAGGATAATTTAGACAATTAGAAAAATTTTCTTATAATTTTCCTTTTTTTCAAACAATGGAATGAGAATATTTTAAAATTTTCTTATAAATTTTTCATGCTAACCAAATATATGCATGAAAATATATTTTCTTTTACTTTTTTTTCTTTCACTTCACTTTCTACCTCTTTTACTTTCTATCATCTTTTTCTTACTAACCAACCGGACCCATAGAGAAAAGAGTAAGTGGACAAAACATGAAAAATAAGACAACATTCTCGGGAAAAAAAAAAAAATTTCCCACACAATTTGTGGGAAACCAAAGTAGATGTTTGCAGAAAAATTTGATGCTCAAGGGAAAAATAACTTTCTCGATGAATTGTACTTTTAGCTAATCAAACAAAGTTGATTTTTTTTTTTCTTTTTTTTGCACTTTCTAGTGTGTTGACACTAACCAAACAAAACTTCTCACTCAACTAGAATTTGTTGAAATATAAATACTTAAATTACACATTCTTCAACAACTAATATTTTTGAAATCAATAGACTAACATAATAGCAGAGCAAACAATCACCCTAAAAATTTCTACAAAAGAGGAAGAAGAGTAATATATAAGATCTACACCTATTTGACAATTCAGCTCATATGCAAAACGAGTTTTCAAATCTGATCAGATTCTTTCCATTTTGTAAATTGAATCGAGATTGACAGAGCCAAAACATAGTTAAATCCAAACTGTTCAAATAGTTTAACAGCCCAATGAACACAGTGGAATGCTGAAGCAAAGAACGATTTCCATAGAACATTGCTGTCATGATCAATCTAGGAAGTTTTTTCTTTCCATTTCTTGGATTTGAGAGAGTGCCAAGGTATTACAACAAAGCTAAACCTGTTCAAATTTCTCAGAAATCACAAGAACTAAGGTTTCGGTCTTTCTTCTGAAAACCTAGGAAGCTGAACAAGCGAGTTGACTCGTGTGACGCCTTCCAAACCCGACCAGTCCTGATCATCGGCTACTACAGTTTCCCCATTTCCTTCTATTTCAACTGGTAATCTTTTGTAGGGATCATTTTCTTCAGATGATCGGACAGTAAAATTTCTCTGCAAAAAGGGTTCAGAGTTCTGGCCATCATCTGATTCCACTGCATTACCAGAATGGTTGCTTTGAAGGGTAGCAGAAGAGAAACCTTGTTCATCATAATCAGATTCGGCATCCATTTTTCCGTCCAAAAACAAGCAAACCACCGCACAATCATCCATCTTTGACGTTGGATATTTGGCTTTCCACTCTCGAGCAGCACAGTCAACCAAGATCCTCGCAGCTGATGACCGGGTTGGAGCCGATGAAACTATCTCAACCACTTCTTCATTGCTCAAGACATCCCAAACCTACAAACCACAATGCAATAGTTAAATATTCAGAAATACAACCAACATACAAAGAAATTGCCAGTTCGAACTTTACTAACTACAGCACAAATGCAAAATGATTAAAATGTCCAGCACATTTGCTGCTTATATGAAATGCTGAAAATACTCGAATCCATTGAAATCTCTAGAGTGCCTGTTAAAAATGGGGAAACACTGGTCAGGACAATTCATTTCATCTTCCATGTATCCCTCAGACATTTCTCCTTCTAATTAGGTTAGGTTTCACTTGAAACTTAGACATGATCATTAAGCCATAAACTTGGCTGCCACACAAAATATAATGCCAAAGACAAAAAGAATAGCAAGTAACTCTTCCTTCCCCTTTAAGAGTTCTGTCTAGTGATAGACTGAACTCTCACCAGTAAGGATAAACTCCTTTCTTATACTTTTCAAGTTCCTGCATCTGCCCACCAAACCAACAGCTTCCAATGACTACATTTTCGACGTGAAATCAGTTCTCTTTTCAGATCCTAAAATCCCGCAGCCTGATGGAGGTAATCCCGAGATCCAATACATCCTTTTTACCCAAACTGTTTTTGTTTCCTTTCTCTTTTTCAAACTGCTGAACCAAATAACTATCCTAAATTAAACTTGTAAGGCTGCACCATCTTAGTCAACGCCCGTGGGGTCAACTATCAGAAAGTGTAGGCATAAATAGCAATGAAATCATCCCCTAAGGTAGTCATCAAATAATATTCTTGACCGACAAAACATTGGGATGCATACTACACAAAAATAAGCAGATACTTATTCAAATAACTATCAGATGGGTTAGGTTTCGTTCAAAAACGACACAAAGACAAACAGATACCGATTCAAACAACTATCAGATGGGTTTCATTCGGAAGAACAAATGTTCTAAAAACCACTTCAATAACTATAAAAATTGAATAATATCTTGGTCCCCATCCAAAAACATTCTCGAATGTTTGCTTCAAGCTCCAGTTGAATTGGTCAAAATATAATGTAATTCATCAGCTCAACCTAATCATTGATACCCTTAGTGGAAAACACCAAATAGTCAACTTCCACTCTTCATTCCCTATCAATGTTGACATAAAAAATTATTCACAACTATCTCTACAAAGGGATGCAGGGCACTATCTCTACAGGGGGATGCAGAGCACGGTCAATCTGTGTTATATTATTTTGTTTCATTTTTCCAAGCAACGATGTACACGAGGTTTATATTGACGGGGATCGTGTAGTAATTGGATAGATGTTATAGATTAATTATGAGTTATTTAGATAATTTTAATATTTATCTTTTAAGTAATTTATTTTAACTTTTGAGGGTTTATTTATCATTATTTATTTATTTTAGGGTTCAGTTTTTCTATATAAAGGGATGCATGTAAAGGTTCGTAGAAAAAACATTGTTCATCGTGCACACTATTCTTGGTCTCCACTGTTCATCGCACACTGAATCACCCCCATAAGTTTCAACAAATTGCAAAAATACCATCCAAAAACTCTAGAATTGCAGAAACATTCCAGCAGATTCAGAAAATTACAGAAACATCCCAGAAGTTACAAAAATTACATAATCATCCCCATAAAATTTCTGGATTTCATAATTCCCTCATAGCAAAGCTTAAATTATAGTATGTATACTCCTATAAAAATTTAAAACTAATATTTTTATTCGTTTAAAAATTAAAAAATTTGCAACGGGTCCAAATCATTTGTCAATTACATTCTTGAACTTGTTTTGATGTCATTCCCTTGTTCCAAGACTCACTCTTGAGTATGTATAATTCCTATAATCCACATATTTACTCTACTTTAAGAGTCCCTCCTTGAGGTCATCAGCATAGCAAGTCTAAGTATGTCTACAAGGATTCAACACCTATTGCCAAATCAATTAAAGATCCTTCTACATTTTGTGGTACTCTAGATTCCAATCAATTCTTGGATTAGTTAGCTAATTTAGAAGAATATTTTGATTGGTAGAACATGTCACTTTCTCATTGCGTCCGTTTTGCTAAATTGATGTTGCAGGGTTTTGTCAAAGGGTATTGGCAAGCAATCCAAAGAAGCCTAGATAGCTTAAAAGAATCATCTATCACTTGGGTTGGAATGAGATATAAATTGAAAGAAAAGTATTTGCCTACTTCCTACACGAATCAATTTTATGACCAATGACTCAATCTTAGACACCATTTTTCTAGTGTCTCTGATTACTTTGCCCAGTTTAATTAGCTAATATACTTGTGTGACATTGTTGATGAACCTTAAACAATTGATTAGTTTATTCTTGAGTTGAGACCAAACATTAGTAGGAAGGTCTAGCTATACACTTTTAATACATTAGTGGCAGCCTATCAATATGCTCTAAAGTTTGAGAGATTTCATAAAAAATCCAACTATAACTTGATGGGTTCTCAATCACAGTTTGTTAAACAGTGTGACAAGATACCTTCCAACTTTAATTCTACTACATATGAGTATCATGATTACTTGAATGATATCCATATTGTTTCTGCATATTTTCCTAATTTCAGGGTAACCATGGATTTGGATGACACATTCTCATCTAAAAAAAAGATGTTACTCATGTCAACCACTAATCCCCTTGTCCGGTTTTATCAGATCAGAGCTCGTCTCATTCATACCAACAAAAGTCAATACCAAAAGAAAGTGAGTTTGAGCCTTGGCCAGGGTCAAATGTTGAGTCACCACTTATAATGGAACTTATTGAAAAGTCTATCGAGTCCACACTTAAGCAAAATGTCGAGCATATTGAGTTATCCATTTCAGAATCTTTTAGTGATTGTTTTTTGTCTCCTATTTCAAGTCGATCTAATTTTGTTCCCACGTCTTTCCTCTCTGAAATAATTGACTTTATTTCTACTATCAAAATTTTGCTTAAGTTGATATTTAATTATTTTCATTGAATGTTAGTATTAGTCCAAATTGTTATTTTGAGGACATGTTACTTAATCGAGGAACTCCAGAACCTGCTTTGTATTTATCGTAGTCAATGGTTCTTTCATTCTAGATGAGACATTATGTCATCTTCATACTGCTCTCTTAGGATGCTTCCACTTTGAGGACTCTCCAGATGAGAGTTTTTCTCAATCAGAAAAAAATAATGGGGATCGTGTAAGAATTAGATAGATATTATAGATTAATTATGAGAGTTATTTAAATACTTTCAATATTTATCTTTTAAGTAATTTCTTTTAACTTTTGAGAGTTTATTTGTCATTATTTATTTATTTTAGAGTTTAGTTTCCTTATATAAAGGGATGCATGTAAAGATTTTATTTTGATTAAACTTTGATTATTATTGAGTACTGATATTGCTTCCTTCTTAAAATTTTTTCTCTTTTCTCATCATTTTCTTCTTCTCTTCTCATCCCTAATTCTTCCCTTTCTACTCTACATCAATTTGGTACCAGAACTAATATGATCTACATCACAAATATTAATATGCAAAAAGAACAAACGACAAAAAATCCCTTCCGAAAATCTGAAGTCACCTCATGTTCTAGACCCGATGATTGAACAGGCTGCTGCTTACTTTCAACACCACACAAAGGTTCTAGTTGAAAGTTCTCGGACTAAGTTTACATTGTATGGCTACTGTGAAGACAACTTGTATCCCAGATGGAAAAATTAGGACCACCCAAGGTTGATCTATATGGTCGAGGGACCTCCTCACACATACCCATTAGATTAGGATTGGATGCCTTTTACATGGTATTTGAGTTGGATTGCAAAGTGTTTGGTAAGACTCGATATCACTATTCTAGTAATTGACTTCCATTTCATTCGTGCCAGTGATGCTTTTGTTATATCTTTGAATTTACAGTTTGATTCTTTTGTTTCTCTCTCCATGTGGAAGTGGGGGGTCACATGTGGAGGTTGTTTTAGAACTTGTCTCCACTCAATACCATTTCGTTTTGAGTTGAATGCTCTATCATTGTCTCAAAGCTACACCTTGGATAATGAGTAGTTCAAGTCTCTCATTGGTTTTGGGTTGGGTTGGATGCTTTTAACAGTAGAATAGGTTAGACAAGTTATTTGGGCTGCAATTAGACTCTCGACAATCATCTTTTTCTTCCTACTTGGCACACAGCACAATTGTTGAAAAATGCATCCAAGCATGTTTTACAAGATGCTTCTGCATATGGAATAAAGAAGCATGCCTTTCAAGATGTAAGAGACTTGAATGAGCATGAGAAGAGACGTAGAAGTGGAAAGTATTTCTCAAATATCCACTTTCAGATAAAATCATGATCATTACACTAACTACCATGAAATATACAATAAGAAAATGAAGGTCAATAATGACTAGTGTTTACTCTAAATATTTAGAACAGGAAAAAAATTAGAAGTAATTAACCAAAGCCAAGGCTTATTAACACACTGACTATATTCATTCATTGACATGAAAAAAAATTTTAGTTACATGCTACTTCCATAATTACAGGAGCACCATACTTTGCAATTTCTGCATATCTAAAACCCAACATCCATAGTTCAATGGTTTTATCATTACTCCTACAAAGTAGGTTGTTATGAGAAATTATGTGGCATCGCTCCTACTTAAACACCTGGAGTTAATTCTGGAGGCAAGGTCTATATTCAGTCTAACCCTCCTAGCACCATTAATTAAACAGGATCAACATTTGGTCATGGATACAATCATTTCAGTAAAACCCAGTATCTTAATTCAAATTGAAGGGGGACTCTAGGAGGGATAGTAAGGCGAAAGAACTGCAACAGATGCTCCCAAGCTTGGGTTTCTTGTCCTCCCCAAATATCTAAGCAAGATGGTAAACTAAGCAAACACAGAGAACAAAATCTAGATTCCACGACACTTGTAGTTCCCAATCTTAGTAAGCAACATAGAAAAGAAGAGTCCCACAAAACAAAGTTCAAACAAGCCACAACAATGATGACATAACATGACGCAAGTGTTTAGTGCACTACAATAATGGTGTTAAGAGGTTGCACATCAAAGGATCTCACTCAACTGAAATCTAGTCAAAGTCAATGAACAGCTACTGGAAAAAACAATATGACAAGGCAGAGGTATCTGACCAGTATGTATATCTCCCACCAACATCAGACAGAATAATTTTATTTTTTTGCTGCTTGTATAACTGTTGATTATCATTTAAATCCAAATAGAACTTTCCCGCTACAGTGTTCTTAAGATTGGAACTTGAACTAAATTGATGCTTTCTTTAAGATCTTGTGTGGGGTGCCCCCATTTGTGGGGCAGTGAAGAATGTGTTGAGGTGCAAGGTTGACAAAAGGGGCAAATGTCTCTTGATGCCATTTGCCACATGAAAGACTAAATATGGCTTATTTTGTGCTGTGGACATGGAGAAATTTCACATTTCAAAGTGCATTCTCATTTCCCAAGTGCCTTCTCCTATTTAGAACTACAGTTTTGGAAGTGATGTTGACCATTGAAAACTAGGGGAAATGCTTCCTAATTTCTGCTGCTAAGTCACCAGCCAAAACAAACAGCTACACAGCTCCTATTTTATGGTGTGGTAGCTCTAAACATATGGTACCTGCTGTTTTCTCTAATTAGTGTCCATTTAATTGTCCTATTCAGATGGAGTGCCACTCGATAGTCGATAGTTTCTTAAGGGATTCTGCAAACAAAATGGTAAGGACAGGCACACCTTGTTACTGAGATGCTGACTCTGCAAGAAAAGGAAAAGGTGCTCCTTTGAGCCTAGAGAAATGCAGATTTATAAGCTTGCGTAGTGGCAAAACAAGACAGAAATTTGCTAGTTATCGTTAGAAAAGAGCCAATTGTTAAGCATAAAAGAAAGTCTAAAAAAAGGGTCGATTAACAAAAAAGAAATAATTTACACGATATGATATATCTAAATCTAAAGTATCAATTCCAACAAACACATGTCGGACTTCAAAAAAATTTCGAAATGGTTTTGATATATGAAATGAATCTATTATTTTGATTTGTTACGTGTTGTTATTTTATTGAATTGAGTTGTGTGGATTTCGATAAGTATAAAAGATCACAAAAAGAGTTTCGTTTCTTATTATTCTTTCTTCTTTTTTGACTGACTTTACTACCTTGGGGGAATAAAAAAAGAAAACTATGAATTCTTACACACAATGCATTTTTATGTTATAATTTCAACGGTTTGTTTTGGCGAGCCCTATCTATCAAAACTCCTCCCGCAAAAGAAAAGAGAGAACTTAGTTATTTAAAGAAGGCCCCTTTCTTTTCAAAACCTCAATTTTTATGATTCTTTTTTGATCCTATCTTGATTTGGTCCAATTCCCCTATTCGACAAAAGGTCCATTTGTATACAATAATCGCATTGTAGCGGTATAGGTTAGTGGTATAAGTGTGATTCGTTTTGTTAACCCTGTTAATAGTTAGGGGGTCTTTCAGGAAAACTTCCGAGTTTTTGTATTCTCTTTAAAGACAATATACATCTACACAACTACAATTACGCCAATTCAAAAAAGTCGTCCAAGTAAAATAATACATTAGCAGGATGTCTCCAGCAGGAGACACGATATAAATCAATAAGACGATGGAAAGGAAAAAGAAGACAAAAAGCATATATCCAATACAGATACACTATGGAAACCACAGTTACCCGAAGGCCAAAGGTTTCATCCTTCATGATACTCAAATGAATATAAGGTGGAATATAACAGTGATCCTCCACTGGCATCAAATGCAAAAGATGACACTAATATTTTCTCCAGATAGGTAAGGCATGGATATCTATTGTGTACAAACACAAAAATGACCCTACTTCCTGTCAAGAAAGGCATCACGGGTAAATACATAGGGACATCCGCATATACCCCCAAGGTTCCCAATAACAAGATCACAGAGAGTAGGAAATTTAATTTGTTTTACATTAACTAGGGAACTGGCCAAAGTTTCAGAACCAATTGTCAAGAAGGTTTCGGGTCCATTATTGAATAAGTATCTATCATAGGGATATGAGTTCAAGTATAAGGTGATGAGGAAAGACACATAGACTCGACAAATTGAGCAGAACGCATAACATCAATGACAAGAGTGTTACTGCAAATTGAAAACTTCAAGACCTAGAAAGCAAGCATCAATGGAAATTACATCATATCCAACTCAGATCAATAGTGTCAAAGTACCAAAAACAAAAGAATCAGTTTCCCAAAGCTGCTCCACAATAATTAATATAATGAAAAAATGATCATATTTTATTTCTGTTTATTTATGCATATAATAAATCGACACAGGTTCAATGGTTAAGATTCAGTTCAGTAACCTTGAGGCTGCAATTCGAACATAATTGCAGTCACTTTGTGCAAAAACAATGCTTAATGTCAGATCCTGACCCAATATACCGCTCCCATCCAGACCCCCATTCCTTTTGTTTTTCCCCATATTGTAAATAGATTCTCCAGATTATACAGTGAGTTCATAAGCCCAAAATGCCCATCAAATATATAAGGTGTGGCAGCCAATTTGCAAAAGCAAATGACTTCCAAAACATGTTTCAAATTCAATTTATCATTTCGTCTTTATCGCATCATATTTCCTCACTATCATGGTCGCACTAATCCTGTCAAATACGTTTCATTTACTTATTGGTTCTCAAATTCTCAATCGGGGAAACGGTATGCACATGGATAAATCCCACACAGTACCTGATCACTGATAAGGAAATTCACATGTTTCAGCAAAAGAATCATCAATTATTCCTAATCAAACGATTTGTAAAAAAGAGAATCCACTATATGATGATGCAGAGGAGAAAAGCATACCCCATCGGATGCTAGGACAATGAACTTGTCTTTATCAGTAAGTATCCGATGAGAGAATTCAGGAATAGAGATAACTCCATATTCCTTCAAACAGAAATCTCCAAATGCGCGAGCCATTGCTAAGCCAGGGGCATCATCAAACGGCAGCCAAACTCTTGGCACTTCGGGCTCATCTTGCAATGCAAAAACACGACCTTTACATCGTTTGATCCTCTCTGCTTCCCCTGTTGAAAATAAAAGTAGATCAGCACATTCAAGTTTACACAGCAAGCATACATCCATATCAACCAAAGTAAGACATACTCGGCAAATCAGGCTTCAGATCAACGGTTAACTGGCTCGCCACCATTTTATCATTGCCATCCTTAGACCCCAAAACTGCACGAGAGTCTCCAATATACCCCATAAAGAGATTTGAACCCTTGCAGTCACAACATCATAGGAAAATAAGAGAAAACTCAAATACTCAATGGAATGGAAGATAGGTAAAAGTTTGGTTAGAGCTATTTATCACACCTGTTTTACAATAGTGACAGCAGTGCTGCCACTACAAAAGCAATCCAAGTTAGGGTGGGACCTCAGCTCTTTGTCCATGGCCTTGTATGACTTAAGAAAAGCTTCTCTCCATGAGGAATCCACTTTATCCTCTGTAGAACTGCCTTCTGGATCTCTTCCATCTGATGTTAGATTATTGCAACAAGTCGAACTAGACCCATTTCTTTTTGATTCATCAGAAGGCAAGAACGACATTAACTTTAATGGCAATGCATCCCTTACTTTGCGAGCAACAAGATGGCCATGTGGACCATGGCCATCAAAGACACCACAAAAGGTCACATCTTCTGACATGAATTCCTACAGAGATTCAAGAAATTAACACCCAAGATTATCAAAAACCACATCAACAGAGAGAAGAACAGAACATAACTTACTTCCCACACAATCATGGCATCCTGGTTTATGCCCTTACGCCCCTGCTGAGTGAATATACAAGAAGTCCGGCTCTTTCCATTCGTGAAAATCCGACTGGGTATGGAGGTCAAATGCTGCAATGTAGTGACACGATCCGAAAATGATCTCCTAGTTCTCTTTGAACGGCACATACTTGTCCCCAAACAAGATCGAGAAACTCTCTCTCCAGTGCTCCTGCTACTACAAGTACTCCAACTACTACTCGAGATACAACCTCCCATTTGATCAGCCCAAGAAGGAGAACATCTGATTGAAACCAAAGGCAAGGTTCTTCCTCTTTAACAGATCTCACAGGGAATTTCCAGATCAGGTTGTATGGTCAACCAAGTAAAAGACAGTTGAAAATACAAAGATTCCAACTCAGTAAACCAGAGCACTTTGGGACGTAGTATGGAAATCTAGGGCCTTTTTTATCTTAGTCAAATGTCAATTCCACTGAAGCAGGCTTGAACGATATAACTAACCCACCTACACAAAGTTCTAATACATTAATTACTCAATCGTTTATAATATAACTCAACTATTACTTATAAAATATAAAATAACTCATAAGAATTCGGATATAGAGGCATGAAGGCTTAACTAAACAGATCAAAAAAATGTAGCTTAAACGATACTGCATGTGAACAAGGAATAAAAAAATACAAAAAGGGTGGTCTTCATCATGAATCGTTCAACAGAAATCTAAATTATATAACTCAAATTGGGGGGTTTAATGCTAATGTGCCCAGAAAATAGTAATATAAAACTGAAGTTGAAGAAGACAGAAAGACAGAGACATTTTGGAAATATAAAACAAGAACACACAGTAAATAAGAAAACCAACCGAAAAGCGAGATACCCAACCGAAAAGCGAGATACCCATTTAGTCCTCTAATGACCATTGACTGGAGGATCTACGAATAGCATTGCTACTGAAACCAGAAAAGAGAATAAAGTTTAAATTAACCTCTGGTGAAGATAAGAGATTTTTTTATAAATATGGCTATTCATAAATCTTCGAATTTAAAAAGAAGTGGTTATTCAAACTTGAATTTTCCCTCTTCAGAGCACCAAAATACAAAGACGAAAGAAGAAGAAGAAACCCATAAAAGTATAAAATCAATCACAAACCAAAAGATTCGTCAACACAAAAACCATACCGAAAACGAAAAAAGTATGCATAAAATACACACCATCACTTACTTTCCTGAAAATTGTAATGACCCGTTTTTGGTTGCCAAGAAAATGAATCAGAATGAGCAAATAAATAAGCAGACCACACAATCAGATCTTTCATCATACAGAACAAGAAACCAACTTTTTGAGATTACCAACCAAACCCCCAAATAAAAAAAACCTTTCCGAGATTACCTTGGACCAGTTCAACAAAATTTCAACTTTCTCACAGTCAGATCAGAAACAAACACCAACTCCAAGCAGCCAGACAGAGAGAGAGAGAGAGGAGAACTGGGTGTGGGAGGCTCTGGGCAGTTACGATTACAATTGGGCTAGGCTAGCCTCTTGGCCGAAATGATGATGGTGGATGGACTTTGGACTAGGGAGAGAGAAAGAGAGATTTAATTTTCTTTTGGACATCATAGGCTACGATCTTTACAAGGCGCGTCTGAGTTATGCATTGTTCAATTTTCGGTTTTTAAACTTGATCTTTGTCGGATTCAACTAGATCTTTGTCGGGAATTTTTGGTCAATTAGTATTTACTAATTTTCACGTCACTTTTCTTGGGTTCGTTGAGTTTTATTTTGAAGAAAAAAAAGAAGGATAATTACACATGCTTCAAAGTCCCTGGGGATGGTTACATTTTGATTACCTTTTTATATATGTAGATAATAATAAAATTGAACAAGAGGTGTGTTAAATGTGTATAGGATTGAAGGATATATTGATTCCGTAGAATAACACTCGTAATCAAAATCAAAAATCTTTATATAACAAAATCTGCACCCCAATTAGAGAGAAAGAGAGGGGGGAGGGAAGGAATAGTTTTGTTATGTTCAACTTTGATTAAAAAATTTATCCACCAAAAATATGGAATGTTTTGTTTACCAGACTAGCATTGATAATCTGATAATTTTTTACTAAAAAAGATGAATACTGATGATATTCAAAATGATTCCCGAGCAGGAGCTCGGGAACGGAGGTCAAGTATGCTGAGCTCAGAAATTCAGAGCTATGCAGAGCTAAAAAAAAACTAGAGCTAGAGCTCCCCTCAAGCGAGATAATAAGTTGAAGTAATGATGAAACAACTGAATACTACAAAGAACTCAACAAGCGGTTTGAAGTAACACTCAAGGAACACAATCCTCAATCAACCAAGATACTCTCCTAAGATCAAGGAGAATTTCTCGGATAGATGACGAGAATTACAGATCAGATCTCATAGATTAAGGGATACCCCTATAAATACTATGTAACGCCCCCAAAAAAGGGGGCAGAACCCTAGTATCACATCTGACATTCTATAAACCTTTTGGTATAGTAAATAGTGAAGGAAAGAACAAGAATCTCCATGAAGAGTGGATTAGCCGAGCTCCCGAGTTGGTGAACTACTATATTTCTACTGTGTTAATTCTCCAACTCCCCAACAATTCTCAGTATCATTCCCTCGAGTCTAGTAGCTCAGATCCTAATAATTTCAATATTGTTTCTTTCATTAACTCGTCATCATAAAATTGCATCACATTGAAATATACCATCAGTTTGGCGCCTTCTGTGGAAAAAACTGATCCTATTATAAACAAACTGATCTTTCAGTGACTAATGGTATCAACTCGAAACATGAACCGAAGTCAAATAAATCTTCCACGGGCGGAAGATCAACAAGAAGTTGCCAATAGCAGACAACTAGAGGGCGTCCAGGAGACCAATCTCCCAGTGGGAGGTCTCTCCATGAATAACAAGATGGAGGCTCTTCACCTCTCCAATTAACGCTTGCTGAAACAAAACAAAGAACTTTTAAAGCTCTTACAACGCCCACAAAGAGGCACGACAGGCTCAAGAAAGCCTAAACAACCTCCCACCTAGGGAGTAACCACATCTCCACCCCCTCAGAGAAGTTAACGAAGAAGGAAAAAATAGCCAAACCATGGGGCTAGAACCTCGCATACCCCCCAAGAATGGCCACAACAACGAAAGACAAAGTCAGAACAAAAAAGGTGAGAGAAATGATTTTTTCCCCTATCAACAGGAAAGGAGAGAACAATACTAGGCGCAGCACTTCCAAGATATCCAGCAAGAGCTCAGCCACATAAAAGAAGTCGTGAGAGGTAGGGCTCTAGTTACCATGGATGCCTTGGTATAGCAGATTGAATCCCCGTTCACCGCTAGGGTACTGCATTTTCCCCTCTCTATGAAATTCAGAATACTGCAAATAGACGCTTTCGATGGAACAAAGGATCTCGTAGATCACCTCAACACCTACAAGAACCAGATGGAGTTGTATGGATATCAGGATCCAGTGCGCTACAGAGCTTTTGCCATCACGTTGAAGGGCTCAGTCCTAGCATGGTTCAATAGGCTCCCCCCAACCTCAATATCCTCCTTTAAAGAGTTATCCATATCCTTTGTGTCTCACTTTATAGGAGCGCAAACGTACAAAAAGTCGAGTTACCACTTGCTAAATGTGAAACAGGGACCCCATGAGAACCTCAGATCCTATGTTCAGAGGTTCAACTCGAAATTGCTAAAAATGGTCGTCCCAAACGAGAAATTTGCCATTACTGCATTTATATCTGGCTTGGGTGTCCAATCTAAAGACCTAATGTTCTCCATCTCGAAAAATCCTCAGGCCAGCATGGCCGAAGTACTGGCTAAGACAAAAAAATACATAAACGGCGAAGAAGCTCTGCTCTCAAAAGTGGGTAGCTCATCCATACAAAAAGACAAAAGGAAAGAGGAGAAAAAGAGGGACCGAAGTCCCAGAAGAGAGAGAGGACGAGATAGGTCCCCAAGAAGAAATAGAGATCGCTCCCCCAAAAGAAGGGGATACGTCAAAGATCGCCTAAGACCACCTCATTCGGAGTTGCAGCCAAAGTACTCACCTCGGCAGATTCCCCCACTCACCACAACAATATCGTAAATCTTGTATGAAATACAAAATGAAAAATTTCTGAGGTGGCCACCTCATATGAAAATGGACCCGGCGAAAAGGGACCCCTCAAAGTACTGTGAGTACCACGGGGACCATGGTCATTATACTGATAACTGCATTCAGTTGAAGAAGGAGATAGAGTTCCTGATCCAACGAGGGCAATTGCGTTATTACATAGCCCAGGAGAATCAGAATCAAGCCCCACCACCTCCACCACCTTAGCAGCAGGCTCCTGCGCAGCACCAAAAACCCTAAGGAGAGATCAGGATAATATCAGGGGATTTTGCAGGAGGCAGGGAATCTAGTTCAGCTAGGAAAGCCCACCTATGCAGAATTAGAGTTGGTGAGGCTTTGGAGGTGTACGTTGTATCTAAGGCACTACGGCTGAGCTCAAACATCACATTCTCAGATACAGACTTGGAAGGATACCAACACCCCCATGACGACCTACTGGTGGTAAGGGTTGTTATGGCTAACAGAACTGTTCACCGGATTCTGATAGATAACGGAAGCTCAACAGATATCATATTTGCTTCCGTATTTGACAAAATGAGCATAGGAAGGGAAAAGTTGGAGCCCGTGAATGCTCACCTGTAAGGATTTGCGGGAGAACGGATGTTACCACTAGGCTCAATCTAGCTGGTGCTCACTATGGGAGACCCCCTGCTAAACAACCACTACAATAAGATTCTTAGTGGTTGATGTCCCTTCTGCATACAACATACTGCTCGGGAGACCGTCTCTCAATGCAATGAAGGCCATTCCCTCGGCCTATCATCTGGTCATGAAATTTTCTATGGAAAACGGAGTTGGAATGGTCCGAGGAGATCAACGGGTTGCAAGGGAATGTTACTTGACTTCGATGAAGCAGAAAGAAGTTAAAAACATATGACTAGATGAGTTGGACATGAGGAACGAACTGGGCACCAGGCTAACACCATCGGAAGAGCTGGAGCCAGTTCAGCTTGATGAAGAGCCAGAACATCTCGTCTACATTGGGACTAAACTGAGTAGAGAGGTTAAGGAACTTTTTATCCTGT